GTTAATGAAGATGAACACTGAATTTAGTGCCTGGTGAGTAAGTTTTTGTCGTTGCAAAGGAGGTGCGTCCAATCGACTGCAAATCAGTGGAATCATAACGCACCGTCTCTTGAGAATATCAATGCACTTGATTTGGGTCCAAGCTGTCGAGCTACGTAGCTTAGCAACGTAACATAATTGTCATGCTGTTGTGTCAGTCAAGGCTCTGAATCATTTCCAGCATTGTTTTCTATCACATCGGTCATTCGAATGGGGTGTTTTTCTTTTTTGCTAAAATGTCTCCCTAAAGGTTCGCGTTTTGCTGTTGTGACAATGGAATTGACTTCCACTTCAAAACGTTTCGCGTTCTAGAAATCTGGAGCTACTGCTCTTTGTTTGGCAATAATGACTTTAGTTTGAGGGTTGAATGCTTTGAAATGGGATTCCGTACGTTTGATGGACTGATTGAGTTTAGATTGTTGGATGTCGCTACTGCATTGTCTTGCCCCTTCACATGTGCGCACATCTTCCTCCTTCCACAGCGCAACCTCAAGACCATGCGTCAACTGGCCACTCTTACCGAGAATCGTCGCCGCGCTGCGCTCTCGAGTCTCACAGATGAGCAGTATCGGGACGTGGTCAACGTCCTGGCAGGTATGCCCAGTCTCAGCCTCTCCTATCACTGCGGCGTCCTTGATGACGAGGATCCCAGCATCTGGCCCCTCTCCATGGTCACCGTCACTGTACGCCTCATTCGTCGTCCCCTCCTCTCGCCCATCCGGCAGCAGCTCGGTTGCAGTAGCAGTGGTGGCATTGCTGGTGGAGCAGCAGTTGTAGACGCGTCGACAGACCTGCGACTTACAGACCGTGAAGCCTCATGGTACCTCTCCGGTGGTGGAACTGGCTTTGATGATCTCGCCGCGGGTCGGTTCAACAATGTGGAGGAAGAGGATGAAGGCATGGAGGTGATGAGATGAGACCAAATTCTGTCATTGCTTACAACTTAAGACACGCTGTTCATCGTCTTGTTGTTGAAAAAAATGACAAGAGGAAGCGGAGGGCAGTTAACTCGACTCCACCCCATTATGCGGTTGTTGTTGCAGTTCATAATGGCAGGTGTTGAAGCCTTGGGAGAAAGACGGCTGCCAAACTCAGGGCGTAATAAAGCGTACTGACTCGCATTGGCTGACATTTGCACTGTGCGTAGTGGCAGATTTACGCTTTTAGCTGCTATAAAACGATCGTGCTGCTAATGCCATGAACACAGTGATCTTGACGTCCAGCTGGCTGTAGCTTCAGCCACGAGGACTGAAAGGCCATCTCACTCGTTCCACAAGAAGTCGTGATGTGGATATGACTTTGTTGAGTGTCCTCCCAACTACTGCTTGCCATAATCTCGCAGGCAATACTACTTTCGTTTCTCCATTCTTGAAATTCTTGCTCTCGATTTCCCTCATGGTTGCGCTTTCGTTTCAAATATTGAAGTCGTTGGTGTGATTTTTTATTATCTATAATGTGGGAGCAGAGGGCATAAATCACGAAAGGACCTAAAAGTGCCTGCGTATTTTGCGTATGCAGTCGAAATAAATGTAGTTCTACTGCTACATAGCTAATAGCACATCGTACGTTCTTTTTTCGTTTTCAAAATTGTATAAACTTTTATCCTTTCATTTTTCTCAGTTGGCTGAAGATGCTTTTGATGGCAAAAGCGGTGGTGGAGGCGGCATAGCAGCACGTGTGAAACCTCCGGTGCCGGTGTGGGACAAGTCGCGCCAACGTGGTAAAGGTGGGAAAAGTGGCCGAGGAGGAAAGGGTGGTAAAGGCAGGTACAACCAGCATCAAAAGGGCAGCTGTGGTAAACAAAAAGGCGCTAAACCCACTGCACCTTCCAACGCT